GGTCGGGAGTTCGAGACCAGCCTCACCAACATGGAGAGACCCTGTCTCTACTAAAAATACAAAATTTGCTGGGCGTGGTGGCACATGCCCTTAATCCCAGCTACTCGGGAGGCTGAGGCAGGAGAATCGCTTGAACCTGGGAGACAGAGGTTGTGGTGAGCCGAGATCGCACCATTGCCCTCCAGCCTGGGTGACTAAGCGAGACTCTATCTCAAACAAAAGAGTAAAAATGTGAAGTACTTTCCAAAGACACAAAATCTTGTAACGGCCCAATGGGTTCACTTTGCCCTTTGCCTAGACAGAGCCGATTTATCAAGACGGGAACTGCAATAGAGAAAGAGTAATTCACACAGAGCCAGCTGTGCAGGAAATTGGAGTTTTATCAGTACTCAAATCAGTCTCCCAGAGCATTCAGGGATGGAAGTGTTTAAGGATAACCTGGTGTGCCGGGGGCAGCCAGTGAGTCAGGAGTGCTGATTGGTCCGCTGGGAGATTAAGTCATAGGGAGTGCAAGCTGTCCTTTCGCACTCAGTCAGTTCCTGGGTGGAGGCTACAAGATCAGATAAGCCAGTGTATCAATCTGGGTGATGCCAGGTGATCCATCAAGTGCAGGGACTGCAAAATATCTCAAGCGCTGATTTTAGGCTTTACAATAGTGATGTTACCCCAGGAGCAATTTGGGAAGGGTCAGAATCTTGTAGCCTCCAACTCCTTGTGACTCCTAAATCATATTTTCTAATCTTTTGGCTAATTTGTTAGTGCTACAAAGGCAGTCAAGTCTCCAGGTAAGAAGGGGTTTGTTTCGGGAAAGGACTGTTATTCATCTTTGGGTTTTTTGTTTTGTTTTGTTTGACACGGAGTCTTGCTCTGTCGCCAGGCTGGAGTGCAGTGGCGCGATCTCGGCTCACTGCATTCTCTGCCTCTCAGGTTCAAGCAATTCTGCTGCCTCTGCCTCCCGTGTAGCTGGGACTACAGGCGCCCACCATCACCATGCCAGCTAATTTTTTTGTATTTTTAGTAGAAACAGGGTTTCACTGTGTTGGCCAGGATGGTCTCAATCTTCTGACCTCATGATCCACCCACCTCAGCCTCCTAAAGTGTTGGGATTACAGGTGTGAGCCACCACGCCGGGCCTTCATCTTTGTTTTAAACTATAAACTGAGTTCCTCCCACAGTTACTTCAGCCCACACCAGAATGAACTAAGATAGCTTGGAGGTGAGAAGTAAGATGGAGTTGGTTAGGCCAGATCTCTTTCACTATCTCAGTTACAATTTTGCAATGGTGGTTTCAATCTGAAAGCCATAAATAAAATATAATAAATTTGATTTCATAAATGTTTACTTTCTGTACAACAGCAAAATAAACAAAATCAAGAGACAACAAATGAGAGGAAAATATTTTCAATACATATGATAAAGAACACATTTTTATACTAGAGTCTCAGACTATCCAGTGTTTTCAATTAAAAAACCAAAAACATGAACAAATGAGATTAAAGGCAGCTCACAGAAAAAAAAATAACTGGTCAATAAATGTATGAAAGATGCTTAATAATTCATAACTAAATCACCGAAACCATTAGATAACATTTTTTGGATAGATTAGGGGTTGGCACGGACAGAGCAGGAGCATCGCCATCTTGGACAAACCCTCATTCTAAAGTTCACCTTAATAAAAAACTGCCTAAATTCAAAGGGCATCAGCCTAATGGCTAAGGTCAGCACTACCATAAACCACAACATCTTCAACCAGAAACATTCCAGACTCCTCTCAGACCAGAAACATGGTGGCCCCAAGATAAGACTCCTCCAGCCGGAAGATGTTTGTCCCAAGATAACCCCCTCCTCCCAGAGATTCCAACCCCGCCATGAACACACACAAACATTCCAAGCTTCTGGTAAGGCCCCTCACCCTAAAACCAATCTACACTCTTCATCTGTAGGAGAAAGTGCTCCTAACTGAAATCGGCTGGGAGGCCTCTCAGGTTTTAACTAAAGAAAACCTGTCTTTGACTGCAAAGCCACGTTTCATGTTTCTTTCTTCTTTCTTCAACTCTTACAGGCATGACTATGGTCAGTGAGCCAATTCTAGTCCATTGCCTGTTTTTGTGCAGACAGCAAGCTAAGAATGGATTTGCATTTAGAAATGGTTGAAAAAAATCAATATAAGACTACTATTTTGTGATATGTAGAAATCATATGAAATCCAGATTTCAGGGCCCATACGTACAGTTTTATTGGAACAGTTACACTCATTTACCAATTGGCTATGGCTGCTTTCATTCTACAAAGGCAGAGGTGAGCAGCTGGGACGCAGATGGGCTGCGAAGCCTAAACTACTATCTGGTCCTTTACAGAATAAGTTTGCAGACTTTCAGCTTAACGTGTCAAAAAGATTTTTAAAAAGTTCACTTCCACAGTTAGCCACCGCTAGTGGGAGGGTAAATTGGTGCATTTTCTTCTGAGGGCAATCACAGTTTTAAATGCTGAGATGCTCTGACTCAGCATTGAGGAATGTAACCTACAGATTCCTTTGCACATGTTCATGGGGATTTCCATGAGGGTATTTCTTGGTACACCATCCTTTGTAATATCAAAGGCCTCAGGGGATCTGCCCACCTCGGCCTCCCAAAGTGTTGGGATTACAGGCGTGAGCCACTGCTCCCGGCTATCAAAGACATTAAACAAGACATATTTCTATCAGTAGGGGAATGGTAAACTAAATAGTAAACATCCGTACAACTTAAAAGCCATTATAAAGAATTAGATCTTGGCCCGGAGCGGTGGCTCACGCCTGTAATTCCAGCACTTTGGGAGGCAAGGCGGGTGGATCACCTGAGGTCAGGAGTTCAAGACCAGCCTGGCCAACATGGTGAAACCCCATCTCTACTAAAAATACAAAAAAAAGCCGGGTATGGTGGTGCACACCTGTAATCCCAGCTACTCAGGAGGATGAGGCAGGAGAATCGCTTGAACCCGGTAGGTGGAGGTTGCAATGAGCTGATATCGCATCATTGCACTCCAGGTTGGGCAACAAGAGCCATACTCCATTTCAAAAAAAAAAAAAAAATTAGATCCCAAAGGAAAGGGTTGAACCCAGCTGTGCTACAGAGTTTCATGCCTTTGAGGCACTGTACGTATATTGTTCCCTCTATCCGAGACGTTTGCCCTTCCTTACCTATGAATTCCTCATAGACAACTCACAAAAGGAGTTCATGTCAACTGACTCATGAATCAACTGACAAGGCTCAGTTTAACTATTGGTTCCTTTGTGAAGCCTCCCTTGACTCCCTAAACAGAAATGCCCACTCCCCTCCTTGTGCCCCCACAGTAATAGGGATCTACCTCCATTATACACTTATTTCTCTACTGCCTTTGTTTAGACGTCCGCCTCCTCCACTAGACTCCAACAGGGCAAGCACCATGGCTTGTTCTTTGCACTGCTAGGACCCAGCGCAACCCTTAGCAGTAAATACTCCGGGACCTTTGCAGAGAAGCAGGGACGAGGGGACTTGGCAAGGGCTATGAAGACCTCCTGCCTCTCATCTGCAGGCAGCCTTAGAATTTTCCAGGCTGATTGCTGGGGATCAAATCAGGGATCTACTTGGCACCTAAACTAATTCCCAACTTCAGGGAACCTTGTCATTCAGGAGGAGCCAGGTCCTCCTCTAGGACTGAAGGTGGCAAAATTGTGTGCCCTTTGGAAACACTCCATGACACATGAAAAAAGGGCCAACATTGAGACTCAAACTCTTAGCTATGGAAGCCTGGGAGGCTGGTAGCTTTGGATGGTCTATGGCCTTCTGATGCCTCTACCACTGCAACACAAGTGCCCTCAATTGTCCAGAGTCCTATAAAAAAGGATGGAAAACTAGGATCACCATCAAGGGGCTTATGCAAATACATAAAAGTGTCTGAACTATACTCTAAACTCAACCAGTATCAGTTAGGGGAAATCAGTAGCAAATACCTTTTTTTTTTTTTTGAGACAAGAGTCTCGCTCTGTCGCCCAGGTCGGAGTGCAGCGGCGCGATCTCAGCTCGCTGCAGCCACCGCCTCCCAGGTTCAAGCAATTCTCCTGCCTCAGCCTCCTGAGTAGCTGGGATTACAGGTGCATGTCACCACACCCAGCTAATTTTTGAATTTTTAGTGGAGACAGGGTTTCACCGTGTTGGCCAGGCTGGTCTCAAATTCCTGACCTTGTAATCCACCCACCTCAGCCTCCCAACGTGTTGGGATTACAGGTGTGAGCCACCGCGCCCAGCTCCTTACCTTTTTAAAGGGAATGAAAACTAAAGCAAGGGGCACCAGATTAATTCTTCATATTGAAACATGAATAAAGTAAACTAAAAACGTACCAGTATCCAGCAAATGTGTCCAATGTAGAGACCAAATTAGGTGATTCAAGCTCTAGATGGGTCTTCCAGTTTCACAATTACATATGAACTAATTAACAACAACAACAACAACAAAAAATCACACTTTTTTTGCTACACAGTCCTAATCTTAGAAATCCTCAGTGGCTAGGTACAGTGGCTCATGCTCATTAGCCACGACTTTGGGAAGCTAAGGAGAGAGGATCGCTTGAGGCCAGGAGTTTGATACCAGCCTGGGCAAGAGCAAGACGGCATCTCTACAAAAACATAAAATAAGTTAGCGAGGTGGTATGCACCAGTAGTACCAGCTATTCAGGAGGCTGAGGTGGGAGGACTGAACCCAAGAGTTTGAGGTTACAGTGAGATATAGTTGTACCACTGCACTCCAGGCTAGGTGATGGAAAAAGTCCCTGTCTCTTAAAAAACAAAAAAAATCCTCAGAGATCATTTTGAAACAAGCTTCAGTGCAATGTACAATCAAATAACTTTCCTTGGTCCTTAAATTTCTCAAAATAGGTAATTTCTAAATATCAACAAAATACTTTCAAGTTGCTATATCTTGCGGCTAGCACCATGTCATTCTATGAACTAGACCAGCTCTGGCAATGAAGACACCATAGGAAATATTATTTATAGTAAACTTTATTTTCAATGATATTTCACTTAACATAATTTCAAAGTCAGTCTGTGGTCTAAGATGAACAGAAGAACAGATACTCTATTTTTTCACACTGTTCCTCTGAGCACGGAATGGGGTTTCAGGGTTCTCAATGTCAACACCTAACATTTTACCCTTGAGATTTACCTATAGATACAGAAAGAAGAGAACATCAATATACAAGAATCGATCTCTGTGAGGGTCTCAATAAGCTCATGTTACATCCTCTTTATAACCTCTGTAGGGTTATAATGGTAACAACTGATTTTCCACCCCTCCGCCAAGTTTGGTGTCTTTTTTTTTTTTAGGTAAAATGTCAAATGCAAAAATGCTGCACTTATTTCTCTTAATACATTGAAAATAGGGGAAGATGCAGATTTTTAATCCTTCATGAGTCCAAGCTGGAACATGACTTCTGCTAATCAGCTGTCATCAACATACGAACTCCAACTTTGGCGGCCATCAGCAAACTGTTTACAAGAAACAAGACAGAAAACGTCAGGTAAAGGACAGAACAGGCAACTATGTTTTTAAGGAACTAAACTCTGCAGGTTCCTCACAACTGTGTGGGGGAGGAGGTACTAAGGCAAGAGTGGTCAGAGGTAAAATTTCCATCCCTGGAGGAACCAGAGAAAAAGCAAGCCAAGGGACAGTCTCATACTGAGGTCTTAAAATAGCACACATGAGCTGGATCCTAATCCAACTGCCAATAATTTGAAGAGATGAAGAAATGGACGCAAGAGAGAGCAAGGCCGCCCCACCCTCAGGGATCTGATTAATGGTCGAAGCTCCAGCCTCTCAGTTTACTGCTCTAGACCTTGCTCCACATTGACTCTTTTGCTTCAGGTATAAAATATTGGCCGGGCGCGGTGGCTCAAGCCTGTAATCCCAGCACTTTGGGAGGCCGAGACGGGCGGATCACGAGGTCAGGAGATCAAGACCATCCTGGCTAACAAGGTGAAACCCCGTCTCTACTAAAAAATACAAAAAATAGCCGGGCGAGGTGGCGGGAGCCTGTAGTCCCAGCTACTCGGGAGGCTGAGGCAGGAGAATGACGTAAACCCGGGAGGTGGAGCTTGCAGTGAGCTGAGATCCGGCCGCTGCACTCCAGCCTGGGCGACAGAGCCAGACTCCGTCTCAAAAAAAAAAAAATTACACTGGCAGCGTCGCAACTACGAGAGTAGAGTATGCAATCTTTCTCCAAAACAGGTTTGTTAAAATTCCCCTGCCTTCAGGATGTCTTTATCACACTTAATAACTGATTTTTTTTTCTTTTTTTGAGACGGAGTCTCACTCACCCTGTTGCCCAGGTTGGAGTGCAGTGGCACGATTTCAACTGACTGCAACCTCCGCCTCACCAGTTCAAGCGAGTCTCCTGCCTCGACCTCCCGAGTAGCTGGGATTACAAGCATGCACCACCGCGCCCAGCTAATTTTTGTATTTTTCATAGAGAGCAGTTTCACCATGTTGGACAGGCTAGTCTCGAACTCCTGACCTCAAGTGATATGCCCGCCATGGCCTCTCACAGTGCTGGGATTACAGGTGTGAGCCACTGTGCCTGGCCTACAACTAAATTTTTTTAAAACCACAATTTGGTTTACGTATTATAATCAAAATTAGAAAACAGGATTCAATCAAAATTCCCTTCTAGTAAAATTTTCTATAAAAGACACCTACACATCTAAGAAATATGGGACCCCCACACATTCCCCGCAAGTCACACAAAAGGTTGCAGTCATAGCTTTGCACTAAAACTTCTGCCACCATACAGGGAGGAGCTAGGACCAGAGAAAGCCATCTCCAGAGTGAATGGATATACTCATGTCATTGTGACATTAAATCAACCATTATTTTTGAAACATCTCCTATTAGTGTATAAATCAAATGTCAGCTGATGCATAGCATCAGATATCCTGAAACAAGTTAGGTTTTGAATGCATAAAGTATCCTGGGGAATAAACTGAACTCTACATGGTAAAGAAAAGTAACAAATGAAAGTACCTGGCACCTGCAATTAAACCTACAGGCATGACTTTTCCATAGTAGTAGGATCTCAATCCCAAAACACCAACAAAAGTAACAGATGTAGCAGCTGAAAAAGATACAAAGAAGGGTCAAAACTCATTACATCTTCTACGCAGGGGAATCAGAAGTGGACCAAGCCCCACCCATCTCTCAAGGGTCACACCTCATCCTATGCTTATTCCTCCTTCTCCAAGTAGGGGTAGATTACTGGCTGCCCACATCCTATGCGTCCAAGTACCAATATTGGCCAAACAGGGCCCTTCACAGCCTGGGCCCTGCCTGCCCTTCCAGCCTCATCTCTTACCACTCTTCTTCTGCAAAACCCCCCCTTTAGCCATCAATGTGTTAGTTTTCTCCAAAATGCTGCTGTTTCTCACACCCTGCAGACACTATTTCCTCTACCCTGCACGCAATTCCCACTGGGTAACTGTCAAAGCACCTACTACATGTCAAGCGCTGTGCTAGGTGCTGGAGAATACAAAGGTAATTGTAACTGTCTTTGCCCTTTTACAGTGCTTCAGGTCTGATGGGACAGACTTTAAACAATCACACAAAGAAAACCAAGGTACAATTTGTGCTTCAGGTATAATTGATGCTACACAAAAAAGCTCAACAGGGGATCAACCTATTCAGGGAGATCATGCAAGGCTTTTAGCCAAGGAAGTGAAGACTGGCTGAGATCTGAAATTACAGGAGTTAATAAGCTGAAGGATGGGAAGGCCCTTTCCAGGCAGAGGGGACAGTATATGCAGAGGCCCGGTGGTTGACAGGGAGCGTGGCACATTCACCCTAAATGGGCACTGTGGCACAGAAGTCAAGATGCAGTTTGCAAGTAAGAGGGGCCAGGCCACATGGAGCCTTGAAGGCTATACTAGGGATTGGGTTTTCATCCTAAGAGCAATGAGAAGCTATTAAAGGCTACTAAGCAGAAAGATGCATGAACACAGTTGCATTATTATTATTTTTTGAGACAGTCTCACTCTGCAACACAGGCTGGAGTGCAGTGGCATGATCTCAGCTCACTACAACCTCTACCTCCCCGGTTCAAGCAATCCTCAAGTCTCAGCCTCCCAAGTAGCTGAGACTACAGGCACCTGGCACCACGCCCAGCTAATTTTTTTTTAATTTTAGTAGAGACGGGATTTCATCATGTTGTCCAGGGTGGTCTGAAACTCCTGAGTTCAGGCAGTCCACCTGCCTTAGCCTCCCGAAGTGCTAGGACTACAGGCGTCAGCCACTGCACCCGGCCCAGAGTTGTATTTTGAAAGCATAATTCTAGCTGTACCATACAGAACAAACTTCAGGGAAACTAGAGGGTACATGGGGATACCAGCTAAGGAACGTCCTTGGGAATGCAGGTAAGAAAGAGGGGATAACTGGGACTAGGATGATGGTTGTGCAGATGAAAAAGAGGACAACTCAGGATAAGGGCCGGAAATAGTGTTGACAAGACCTGCTGATGGATTAGTCAGAAAGGGGGCGGTGGAGGGGAAAGAGAGCAATCAAGACCCGAATGGATGGAGAACAGAAGACAGGAGGAGTGTGTGGCCATGAGGTTAGGTCTGGGCAGATTCCTAGAGACATCTGAAGGAAAGTGGGCAAATGAATACATGAGAATCCAGCCTGGAGGAGAGAGAAATTTGTGTCATTTGTGTATTGGTGGAAATTAAAGGCATAGGCTTTGATGGTACTTATAAACTGTCAAGTGAGTAGACAAAAAGAGCCTGAAGAACTTCAATGTCTAGTGGCCAAAAAGGAAAATGAGTTGCCAAAAGAAAATGAGAGAATAAAAAGGGAAACCAGGAGAATGGAAAATGATTGGTCAACCATGCTGAGAACTGCTAAATGGCCAAGTAAAATGAGGACTGAAAAATGTAGATTGGATTTTGTACAAACACAGGTCACTGGCAGCCTCAGGGAGAGCTGTTCCACAAACACAGGGACAGAAACAGAGACTGAGATGGGCTGATCATGTGTGATGGGAAAGGAAGCATAAATGATCTTTTTTTTTTTTGAAACGGAGTCTCGCTCCTGTTGCCCAGGCTGGAGTACAGTGGCTTCATCTCGGCTCACTGCAACCACCACCTCCCAGGTTCAAGCAATTGTCTTGTCTCAGCCTCCCGAGTAGCTGGGATTACAGGTGCCAGCCACCACGCCCGGCTAATTTTGTATTTTTAGTAGAGACGGGGGTTTCTCCATGTTGGTCAGACTGGTCTCGAACTCCCGGCCTCAGGTGATCCACCTGCCTCGGTCTCCCTAACTGCTGGGATTACAGGCGTGAGGCACCACGCCCAGCTGCATAAATGATCTTTAAGAAGTGTTTGGTCTACCACCATACCACCCTGAACACGCTCGATCTTGTCTGCTCCCAAAAGCTAAGCAAAGTCGGTCCTGCATGGTACTTGGATGGGAGAATACCACCCCACCTTGGGGAAAATACCAGGTGCTGTAGGTTTCTGGCCTCCCATTTCCTCCCTCTTGCCCTCTTGGCTGGGCATGGTGCCTCACGGCTGTAATCCCAGCACTTTGGGAGGCCGAGGCGGGCAGATCACCTGAGGTCAGGAGTTCCAGACCAGCCTGGACATAGCGAAACCCCGTATCTGCTAAAAATACAAAAATCAGCCTGAAGTGGTGGGAGGTGCCTGTAATCCCAGCTACCTAGAAGGCTGAGGCGGGAGAAGCGCTCGAACCCAAGAGGCGGAGGTTGCAGTGAGCCAAGACCGCGCCACTGCACTCCAGCCTGGGCAACACAGTGAGACTCTGTCTCAAAAAAAAAAAAAAAAAAAGTTTATGAAGAGGAAAGAGACAAGCACATCTGAATATCAATGGGGGGATCCACCTAAAAGGAGGAATACAAATACAAGACAGGATCCTTGCCAGTGTAAAGGTCTGGAGAAGGTCAGGGAGAAGACACTCAGAGCACAGAGGAGGACACTGGTGTTGGAGAGGAGGGAAAACAGGACGAGGTGAGGCTTGGAGATTAAAGGTTCCAGGGAGTCCCCACCTGATGGCTGCTGTTTTTTCTCTACAATAGGCATGAGGTCATTTGCTGAGTGGAGCAGGATCAGAGAAAGGGAAAAAGCAGGCTCAAAGTCATTCTGCAGCATGAGGGAGGGAGCTGTTAGGCAGAGCTGCGACCTGGACGCACCTCCTTCCCCAGCACACCCCATTAGCCATCACTGACCTCCCTTCCCAACCCCGGCTGACGTGTACAGATCACACGGCTTCTCCCTCCCACATGGCACTCACTCTCACACGGGGTTTGTGGAGACAGTGAGGAACCCACACTCCCAGCAGCGTCTGACACATGGGTGGAGCCCCACAGAAATGTGCTGAAAGCCACCCTGATAAGAAGGACTCCTCGGTCCCCCACCCCACTCACTGTCCATGCTGCTCAGAGGGTACATTTCCAGTCCTGCTTCTATGCTCATGTCTTACTTCCCCAGTGAAGTCAGTTGAAAGCTCCTGGAAGGCATGGCCTATGTCTTACATATTTATTTAGCTGACTGCTAAAGAGGTGATTTTCAAACGGGAAAAATGCAACGTGGATGCAAACCTAACCCAGATGTGTGATATGGTAGTGATGCTGAGGCCAATGGTTTTCAGCGGAAAACCTCAACAGTTGACACATATTTGTCTTACACAAGTTTAATGCTAATTTTACTGGGTAAATACGGGTAACACAAGTTTGATGCTAATTCTACTAGGTAAACACTGAAAATAAGGCCCACAGAGGAGGGAAGATTTTCTGAGAGTCACAAAATTCATGAGGTATGGAAATCTTTCCATATTCTCTACATAAATGATAAACAGGAACCCGGACAATTCCCACCACCCTTCTCCTATTTTCAAACTTTCTGAGGACTTGGACTTGGAGAAGCAGTGAAACTGTAGTAAATTAAGTGTGAAGAACTCGCTCCATTCCACCAAACCAGGGTCGTTTGGAAAACAGTATTGCAGATACACGACTGCCCTAAGGAGATGCTGAAGCAGACATACCTAGGAAAACCCAAACGTTCCTTGGATCCTGAGACATCTGGTAAGAACCCAGGCCAGCGAGGCTGCCGAAGAGCAGCCCTGCAGCCAGGGACGCCACCCTTCCTAGAGGGAAGCAAACACAGCTTGCATTGTAATGTCAGGCACTTATTTCACTAACGGAATCCACCAGACCCCCTGCCCTACAAAGGAGGACAGCACAGAGAACTCTCAACACAGCTCATAGCCAAGGTGGACTCAAGCAGGAAGATGTTTCGGGGAGTGTGCTATCTTCTCAGAGAAGTCAGGGTCTTCCCACCCCATTTTTCTCTCCTCTGATAAGCAGGGCACTTCCATCTAAGGAAAGGAAAGAAGGCCATCTTCCCTCCTTAGATGGAACTAGTGGCTAGTGGCTAGGCCTTCTTTCTAAACAGGCCTGATCAACCATGAAGGGCTGGAACTGTGTACAGGCAGGACCTCCAGCAAATCACAAAAGGAGAGGGAAATAGGGCCAGGTGGTTAAAAAAAATAGAAGACCAGGACAATAAGAATTCTGGTGCAGGGGTTTGGGTGGGAATGTAGGCAAGGACTAGGGGGCAGAAACAAGCACAGCCACTCACACACCCCTGCCTGGCCTAATGAGGAGACTTCAAAATACCAGTCTATGTAGACCAGAGGTTTCCTCCTACCTGAGCCCAGAGATGGCACTTGGGGGTCGTGGCTGATGCACGGTAGTCAATGATAAAAACAAACTACAACCACCCCTGCCTATCTTTAGATAAAGAGGCAAAAACAAGTAATTCCACAAGAGGCCTGGCTCAGCTTCACCAGGTAACCGCAAGGCAAGTGCAGGAGCTGCAACACTGACAAGGAAGCCTGCACTCCAGCTTGGGGACCAACAGCAAACCTGAATGAAATGAGCTTGCTTCTCAGGGGTACCCGGGCACTCACATTTCACTGGAACAACGTGAAGATGTTAAGAGGCTAAGTAACAACAAAACCATACCTGTTTTTACATAGCCAACGATCCCACCAGAAACAACCACTGCTGTGTAGCCAAAGCCAAACCAATGCAAAGGCACTCTGAAAACACGAGAGAGAAGTCAGTGTTAACCTGGCTTTAAAAACAAACCATATTGTCATAGGATGGGACTAAAAGGTCATCATTCCCCACAGGTTCTATCACTGAAAATAAGGCCCACAGAGGTTGGATGACTTTCTGAGAGTCACACAACTCAGCAAAGCCAGAGCTGGGACTCAAACCCAAGTCTCTGGCCCACAGGTCCAGTGATCCTCCCATCTCCCACGCAATCCCAGGCAGTCTACTCTTAGGGTTCTTTTCAGCTGAGGAAAGGAACTCTGGTTTCCAGAAGCTCCTGGCTATTCCATACCCATTTCCTGTCCACTCACAATGGGAAGGGGCTCTTCTCCATTCTTCTCTTCTCAGTCCAGAAAGGAGACTACCCTAGGCCTGCATCTGGGGAAAACAAGCTGCATCAGTAGTGGTTAAAAGCACAGCTCTCCAGCAGTCTGAAAGAAGTGTGTCCAACCCGCAAGCTACGCAACCTAAGTCTCAGTATCCTTCACGTACCATGAGGATAACACTGGTACCAATTTCCTGGGGCTGTTGTGAGCATTCAACGTATGACACATGCAAAGGTGCTTAGCACACAGTAACGCTGAACAGATGCCGATCATTTTACATAGGCCCACAGGAAACTCAGCCAAGATCCACTGACCAACTCTATAATCAGGGAATGTGTTAGCCATTTCATCAAGTACTTACGTTATCACTAAATCGGAAAGCAAATACTCCCGTGCCCTTAATCCAACTACTTTCATGTCTCTTTCGGGGGGAGGCAGGGGTGTTGCTTTTCGTCCCCGCTGCAACAGCCAATTTCAATACTCAAGTTTTTTAGAAACTTCTGCATCCAACTCACAGTTCTTGTTAGGAGGGCAGAAGAGGGGGTAAAATATATGAAAACTCAGGTCAAAATCACATGTGACATTGCAACCTTGGAAAAACAGCTGGTATTTTCTTACGGAAAAGTATCCTGTATGCAGCGAGCCTAACAAGATGGAAAGCAATGCATACCCCGTTTATTCTGTTTAAAGAATTAGGCCAGGCAAGGTGGCTCACGCCTGTAATCCCAGTACTTTGGGAGGCCCAAGCAGGCGGATCACCTGAGGTTAGGAGTTCGAGAACAGCTTGGCCAACATGGTGAAACCCATATTCTATTAAAAAAAAAAAAAAAAAAAAATCGGGCATGGTGGCGTGCACCTGTAATCCCAGCTACTTGGGAGGCTGAGGTGGGAAAATGGCTTGAGCCCAGGAGGCAGAGGCTGCAATGACACATATTCAGGCTACTGCACTCCAGGCTGGGCAACACAGCGAGACGCTCCCCCCACCCCCCCCCAAAAAAAGAAAGAAAGAATTAAGCTCCCATAAAATGGGGAAGGGCTTAAGGCTTGGGATCTTGCCCACATTTCTTTTTTTTTTTTTGAGGCGGAGTCTCGCTCTGTCGCCCAGGCTGGAGTGCAGTGGCCCGATCTCAGCTCACTGCAAGCTCCGCCTCCTGGGTTTACGCCATTCTCGTGCCTCAGTCTCTGGAGTAGCTGGGACTACAGGCGCCCGTCACCTCGCCCGGCTAGTTTTTTGTATTTCTTAGTAGAGACGGGGTTTCACGGTGTTAGCCAGGATGGTCTCGATCTCCTGACCTCGTGATCCGCCCGTCTCGGCCTCCCAAAGTGCTGGGATTACAGGCTTGAGCCACCGCGCCCGGCCTTGCCCACACTTCTTAACTCGAGGCGGCACTGAGTAAGGGAGGCTTTTAAAGAGATGGAGAAACAAAACCACCAGGAAACGGGGCAACACTATGCGACATGGGTAGGCCTTTCCCTCAGGAGCTCAGGGACTCCGCCCATCCACAGCTTCTTTCAAGACATGCAGAAAATACCGACGAGAAAAGCACCGACCACACGGCCTAAAGGCCCGGCTGAATCGGCAGGACGAAAAGCAGAAGGCCGTGAAACTCCTAAATAATCCCTAAAAGTGGCAGAAAATAATAACCATACTCCCCAAGGATCCGCACCGATCTCCCGAAGGCCCGCGCGGTCCACAAGCGCGCACAAGCCGCGAGGCACAGCAGCCAGGTCTCGCCGGAAACGCATTTGCGTCCGCGCTGCGTCCCTGGAGCGCGGCAGGGCGGGGAGAAAGGCGGGGCGTCGTGTCGCCCGCGCAGTGTCCTGGGAGGGGGGAGAGCGGAAAATGGAGACTGTGGGGGCGGGGCTTGAGCTGCCGAATAGCCGCACGCGCCAGGCATCCCGGGGGCGGGGAGTGGGACGGTGCCTAGCCGCGAGTGCCGAAGGCGGGGAACGGGGCGGGGAATCTCTGTGCTTCCTCAGTCCCCAGGCCCAGCACCTGCAGGGCCGACCAGCTCCACTCCCAGGTCCAATCCTGAGTGGCCAAAAGCCGGAAACCCGGAGCTGGAATTGGGTCTTGCACAAGCTGGACCACGTAAGCTGGGCCAGGCCAGAGGTGGAGGCCACCGCTGCGGAAGAAGGGCATCTGAGGCTGGATTTTGAAGGACCCCATTAATAGAGGGTATAAACCAGATGTGGGCCATGAGGTAGGAGTGTCACTCTAGCCCGATCTTGTTTGTTTACACCAGGAAGGGCCTGCCTTCTACCTGCAAGAAAATATGGCGGCTGCAGAATAATGTGGCTCAATGCCAAATATCCGTTTGTTTTAGGGAGTGAGGCTACTTGAGAAGTATCTTAAAAGGGGAGAGAGAGCAAGTTAAATCTGATTTCCACGCAGCTCTGTGGATTCCGAATGTCCACAGCATGAAGTTATCTCCATTCCCACTTCCAAGTCACTCCTGTTACCTGTGTTTCCCGCACCACCATTCTCTCAGTTGCTCTACACTAAAATTTGCTGTCATGGTTGACTTCTCCCTCTCCTTCATCCCCTACAAGTATCAACATAGACAAATCCGATCAATATAATCATCAGTGAATAAAGCAAATTGCAGCGCATATTCTTAAAGACAGACTTTCCACTTGCAGCAGCACCTACCTTGCAGAGAGCTAAGTTGAAGCCCGTGTTTATTATAGTGGATTCTAACCAGCCAAAGCTGATAATGACTAAGAACTTGCAGGAGTTGCAGTATGCCAGACCTTCAATTTAATTGAAGACTTTCCTGAACAATTAATAAGGAGACTTGTCTTAACTAGCAGGGAATGGCTTTAGGGACTCATTCTTCCCTATGCAGGCGCAAGCCTAAAACCTTAATTAGGATCATCCACGATGATCCTCGAGCCCTTCCCTCACCTTATATTTGAAGAGGCTGAACCTCAGAGAATTAAATTACCTACAGTCCTGGTCACTGGTAGAGCTATTATTTAAAGTAAGGTCTAATGTCAAAGCTTACATCCTTAACTCTACCATATGCTGCTTCTTGTAGTGTCGTTCCTCAACCAGAACACATAGCTCTTCTGTGTAGGAAAAGTCCATCAAAACATGTCATAAATTAAAGAAATTGGTTTCTGCTCTATTTCAATTAGTACCAGAGTAAATCAATCAATGATTTGTGTTTGGGAATGTTGCTAGCTAGCATTAACGTTAAGAGATAGCTTTTCACTGGGGGCCCACTGAGGTATCGGAATCCCGAAACACAAATGTGTCAAAAGGGTGTGATCAAGACCATGTCAGGGAATGTTAAGTTTTTAGTATTTGGTCACTGAGGCCCATCAATAGGTTTGGGTGTTTTGTTTTGTTTTTCCCACAACGAGGCTTTGAGGAAGAATTGTGTCTGATAGACAAACACAGGTACACACAGGTGTGTACTCACACAGCAAGAGCAGTAGAGATCATCTGTCACAACAGAAGAGCTCATGAAGAAAGGGAATTGAGCTTCAATTTAAGCATTAGTTTATCATTTTTGGAGCCTGAATGTGTTGAACTTTACAAATTAACAGGTCCCTGAACAAAAAGGTAAAAAACAAATCCCGAGTTGCAGTCCGCCCGGGTAATTCATGTCTATCAAGTGTCTACAATACCAATTTCTACATCTTTGTGAGTATTTTACAGGTTTGTTTGAAAAGCAAGGTCAATAACTCTTTCCCCAAGAAATAAAAGAAATCATTAAAAAAAAAAACGCCTATTTTCTTAACCTACCCCATCTGCCACCTTACTTCTAGATCACATTTATTGGAGTCATAAAAATATTAGCAAAAGCATATGCAGTGCTTATTATCTGCCACTGTTGGAAGCGCTTTACATATGTTAACTTACACTTCATACCAACTCTGTGCAGTGAGGACTATGAATATCTCCTGCTTTTACACATGGAAGAAATTGAGGCACAGAGTATAAGGTCACACAGCAAATGGCAGAGCTGTCCTAACTCTGCATTTGTTTCTTGCAGTGAAGAGGCTTTTTTCTGTATCTTAGTATGTTCTCAACACAGTGACCAGAGCGCTTGTGTTATAAGTCTTATTGTGCCGTTTCTCTCCCCAAAACCCTCTGGTGGCAACCTTTTCTCAGGCAGCGCTTTGCAAAGCCCCACACATCCACCTCCCTGACATCAGCATCTTCTCTTTCCCCCTCACTGGTATTTATTTTTCTTCCTTGCTCCCAGCTGCTTCATCTGCCTGGAACCCCTCCCCAGACAATCTTCCGGTTCACTCCCTCACCTCCTTTCTGTCTTTACACAAATGTCACTTCTCAGAGAGGCCTTCCCTGATCACCTGATTTAAAACTTCAACTCATCTGCATTTCCCCTGACAGCTTCTTTCCTTCCATGACAATTCCCTGCTAACCTGCTCCGTAACTGGCTTAACCATTGTAGAGCCTACCTCCCCCTTTTTCGCGTGTTCGTTTCACAGGAGTGATAATTATGCAGCATTTAGCACAGTGCCTGGCCCATAACCAGTACTCAGTAAACATGTGTTGAATGGACAAGTAGATATGGAATGAGAAATGAAAGGGGTGGTTGGCAGAGAGAACAAAGGCCACATATACAGATTGCCCTGGCTGTACCTTGGCTCTGGTTCTTCCTATCTTGGCCTCAGCCAGATACACCTGTGTCCTTCTCACGTACTTACTCCCACGCCCTCTGTCGAAGCTTAGGACATCCAGAGTTGCATTTGTGTCTTTCAGTGAAGAGTCTTTTAAAATCTGAGACAGCCTGTGAGCGGTGGCTCACGCCTGTAATCCCATCACTTTGGGAGGCTGAGGCACATGGATCACCTGAGGTCAGGAGTTCAAGACCAGCCTGGCCAACATGGTGAAATGCTGTCTCTACTAACAATACAAAAAAAAAAAAAAAAAAAAAAAAAGCCGGGTGTGGTGGTGCACGCCTGCAATCCCAGCTACTCAGTAGGCTGAGAAGGAAGAATCGCTTGAACCTAGGAGGCAGAGGTTGCAGTAAGGCGAGATCACACCACTGCACTCCAGCCTGGGTGACAGAGGGAGACTCCATTTCAAAAAAAAAAAGAAAAAAAAAGAAAATTTGAGTTAACATCATGTACCCTGTGTCATTCAAAAACTCAACATTTCACTAGAGTTATCAGTCAAGCTGCCCATGACTGCCCCAGGCCATTGCATTTAATATGTTAATTTATTTACCAAAGCTATGTATTTCGGAAGGGATTGTGTTTTTCCTTCTAGCCCCCAGAATCTAGGATAGCACCTGGCACACATGGTGAGCACTCACTACAGAGAAACAATGGAGCAAGGGAAGGTGGAGGTGAATGCTTACATATGGGGAATTGTATCAGGAAGTAGTGTATGTGTGATGAAAACCTGGTCTACATAAATAGCAAAGTTGATCATTCAACACGTGGACGACTAAAATATGCAGAATATCCATTCCCAGGAGGAAAAGGGAAGCTATCAACCTGAACTCCCCAAAAGGATTCCATATTTTGATTTGAATTGTCATGTGAGAAATGCAATGGCCTCCAGGTATACTACCTTCTCAGAGATCAGTGAGCAGAAAGGCTCACAGATCAAATTAAAATGCTGGAATCTCTTAAATCAATTTAAAGAAACAGTGAAAAGCAAGAGGAAAGTGGTGGGATAAGTAAATGCTGTTGAGAGGGTGCAAATCTGGTGGAAAATGCCCGCTACCTAAAGCCTGCCTCATACAATGTTTAAGGGGCTACCATCCCCCACCTGCCCCAGCCTCCCACCCCTCTCTGACATCAACTTTTCTGTGGATGGTGGTGCTGAAGACGAGAGGTTTGAGCAAGGAGACTCAAAAGCTAGGTGCCCTGCGCCAATGACACACACTTGCTCTGTCCGAGACGCAGGTACAAGCAAGCCTGGCGAAGAGTTGAGCTTTGGCTGTTGGCCTGTGGAGCAACCATGGGTTTTACTGTGTTTCTTGGACAGAGGACACTTGGGGACAGAGGTGAATAACGTTATTTAGGACCTCATGACTATTTCATGCTTATGTATATTATCGCCCTGTATTTAGTGCCTCTTGGACATTTAACGTATCAAATATTTCATGCTCAGTGTCTCATGTATACTTGGTGGCTAGGAATGTTAGGTATCCTGGACTTTATTCCTTTCTGTTTAACACATGTTCTATTTACTTACTACCTAACAAATCTTCTAAGATCTGCCTATGTTTTAAAAACTTTAAGATCTATCTATACTTAACTCGTACTGAAAAGCTTTCCCCTATGTCACAAACATATTAATCTTCTTTAATAGTATTGAATACTCTCAGAAACCAATGTATTTTCCAACTTTCTTTTTAAATGCCACATTAAAAAAACACCCTCTGGCTGGGCGCAGTGGCTCACGCCTGCAATCTCAACATTTTGGGAGGCCAAGGCAGGCAGATCACTTGAGGTCAGGAGTTCGAGACCAGCCTGACCAACATGGTGCGACCTGGTCTCTACAAAAAAAAATACTAGCTGGGTGTGGGGGTGGATGCCTGTACTCATAGCTACTTAAGAGGCTGAGGCAGAAAAATTGCTTGAGCCCAGGAGTTCAAGGCTACAGGGAGCTGTAATCGTGCCACTACACAGGGTGACAGAGACCCAGTGTCTTAAAACAGACTTAAACAGCCAGTTTCAGCCTTTCAGTTAAACTTCGCACAAAGAATTTTATTTTGAGAGTGTTGCTCTGTCGCCCAGGC